CCTCCTCCCTCTTTCCTTCCTTCCTCCCACCCTATATGTTATCTATATCTACACCTACATGTATTTTGAACAGTTACCATGTGCCTGGTATTGTGAGGGTATTAATATCAGCTATTTAATCCTTACAGCAATTCTACATGGTAGATATTATTCTTTGAATTGTTTCTTTGACATGTTACCATAAGTAAAGGAGTACAAACATTTGGGGTGTGAATTGAATTGACAATCATTTATAGTGACACCAAGAATGTTGTTGACACCTAATGAAAAGCTAACTGGTAATTGCTTAACTAGTATTTCTTTAATTATTAGTGAGGTTGATTCCTTCTCAAGTAGTCTTCTGGAGTAAATTTTCTATTTATGTTCTTAAATCGTTTGTTAATTGGATCCCTTATAAATTCCTACAAACTACTTATATATAAAGGTAATCTATTATACTTTTTTCGTTTTTTGGTTTTTTTTTTTTCGAGATGGAGTCTTGCTTTGTTACCCAGGCTGGAGTGCAATGGCGCGATCTCGGCTCACTGCAACCTTACCCTCCTGGGTTCAAGCAATTCTCCTGCCTCAGCCTCCCGAGTAGCTGGGATTACAGGAACCAGCCACCACACCTGGCTAATTTTTGTATTTTTAGTAGAGACGGAGTTTCACCATGTTGGCCAGGCTGGTCTCAAACTCCTGACCTCGTGATCCACCCGCCTTGGCATCCCAAAGTGCTGGGACTACAGGCATGAGCCACCACACCCGGTCTATTATGCTTTCCCCGCAACTCTGTTGTCATACATTTATGAATGTATTTTTAAAAATGATTTATTTGGCAGAGATGTGTAATTGTTATGCAATCAATCAATTTGGAACTCTATTCCCCCAGAGGTTCACACTTGCTCAGGTCTCTGCTCAAATGGCCTTGAACACCTGTATAAAATATCTCTCCACCCTCTTCTAATCACTGTCACTCTCTATTCTCTCTCTCTTTTTATTTTCATCACAGCACATTCTAGCTGGCATAACATATTGTATTGGTTTATTATCTATGTCCCCCACTAGAATAAAACACTTCATGAGATAGGGACTTGATCATTTTTGGTGCTGTATCCCCAGTGCCTAGTGCATAGGAAGTGCTCATAAATATTTTTGAGTGAATGATGCAAACTCTGCCATTGAATTACTTTTATTGCATCAGTGGACAATAAATGATCTTTCCTCTGTAAATGAGGCAATGATACCATTCCATTTTCTTCTGGCTCATTATAGTTTTAAAATAATTTACTCTTTTCCTATCTGAAATTTTTTTATGGTACATCATAAATCTTTGGCCAACATTTTCCTAGAATTTTGCTTTTTCCATGCTTTTTTTTTTTTTTTTTTTTTTTTTTTTTTTTTTTTTTTTTTTTTGAGACGGAGTTTCACTGTCACCCAGGCTGGAATGTAGTAGCATGATCTCGGCTCACTGCAACCTCTGCCTTCTGGGCCGAGTAACTGGGATTACAGGTGCCCGCCACCACCCCTGGCTAATTTTTGTAGTTTTTAGTAGAGACAGGGTTTCACCATCTTGGCTAGGCTGGTCTTGAACTCCTAACCTCATGATCTACCCGCCTCAGCCTCCCGAATGCTGGGATTACAGGTGTGAGCCACTGCACCTGGTCTCTTTCCATGCTTCTTTTGAATTCATATCAGTTTGGATCTATTTTTGTATCTTTTTTTTTTTTTTTGAGACAGGCTGGAGTGCAGTGACATATTCATAGCTTACTGTAACCTTGAACTCCTGGGCTCAAGAGATCCTCCTGCCTCAGCCTCCCCTGTAGCTAAGACTATAGTCATGTGCCATCACACCTGGCTACTTCTAAATTTTTTTTGTAGAGGCACGGTCTCGGTAAGTTGCCCAGGATCGTCCTCCCACCTCAGGCTCCCAAAGTGCTAGCATTACAAGCATTAGCCACTGTGCCTGGTTATGTTTTTATTTCTATATTTGAAACTTTGCACTGGTAGTTCTGATGGCCATTTAATTATAACATGGCTTAAGATTTTATAGGACTGAGTAGCCCTTAGACATTTTTCATCCCAATTGTTTCCTTGAGATTTTTTTCTTTAACTTTTTACTATGGAAAATCAAATATGCTAAATTAGAGAGAATAGTATAGGAACTGGAAAACTTTTTTGAATGCGTAATAGAATATTTTTTAACAATGCAAAACAATGATCCTAGCATTTCTGCTTTCCTTTATATTAGGCAGTCTTTGTAAGTCCCAAGTTTATAATGAAAATATTTTCACCATGTACAAAATAGTTCCTAAAATTATAGTAACATATTACCACTCTTCCTCTAATTCACCAAGCCAGTTTTGAGCCCTTTTCTGTGTCCAGCATGTGTTCTAAGAGGTGTGAAGGATACCATACCAAGAAGAGGCTCCCTGCCTGCAAGGTGCTTATAATCCAGTTGGGTAGATAGAAACTTTAAGTGAAAGAACTGGAGACTATCCTGCTATCATCTTAGCTTTATCCTCTGTAAAAGCCAATGACAGACAGCTTATAAGACTAAATACAAATTAAATAGAAACAGAGAAAGCAGCTAAGAGCCTGCAACAGATGGGCCAGAAACAATAGTCTCCAAATGCATGATTAAGTATCTGTCAGCACTGGCACAGAACAGGGAGACTGACATTTTATCCTCAACCAAGCCAGGGAGGTGGTCATACCTAGTGCAATGCTAAGCACTCAACTGGTCAGTGAATTTTGTAAAACAGTTTTAAATGTGAACCTAACGGTCCAGTTTCTTGATTGTTGTTGTTGTTGTTGTTACATTAATAAGTTCTTTAGATTTTTGAGATTTTGGGGCACCCATCACCCAAGCACTGTACGCTGTAGTCAATGTGTAGTGTTTTACCCCTCACTCCCCTCCTACCTTGTTTCCTTGAGATGTTTACCCCTATCTTTTCCACATCCTTTTTTTCTATACAATTTTATGATTTCTATGAGATATCCTATTGAGATGTTAATTGGTATTGTATTTGTATCTACTTACGCAGAAGAAGAATCTAGTTTTCCTTATTCAAGTTGTCTTTTATTTCTGCCATTAAAGTTTTGTAATTCTGTTTATATAGATAAGAGTATCAGCCTCACTAAATATTTGGTTTTTGTTGTTGATGTTGAAAAATACACCCTTTTTTAAGTATATTTTTGGCATGTAAATTAAAACTATTTTTTGTGTTTATCTTATAATCTGTAGCCTTCCAAAAGAAACTAAATTTTTGTTGTTTCTCAAATTTTCTAAATATGAATTGCCATTTGCAAAGAGTGATTTTAAAAATTCATAATTTTCTTTGTATTTCTGAGTCCTATCAGATTGCTAGAAACTTTTATATCACATAGAAATGTTAATGGGAACACTCCTAATTTGTTCTAAGTTTTGTTTTTGTTTGAGACAGGGTCTCACTCTGTCACCCAGGCTGGAGTGCAGTGGCACAATCGTGGCTCACTGCAGCCTTGACCTCTTGGGTTCAAGCCATCCTCCCACCTCAGCCTCCCGAGTAGTTGGGACTACAGGAATGCACCACCACTCCTGACTAATTTTTGTAGTTTTTGTAGAGATGGGCTTTTCAGCATGTTGTGTTCTAAGTTCTAAATAGAACAATTATAAATTTCTTCATTAAAAATACTAGAGGCGGCCGGGCACGGTGGCTCACACCTGTAATCCCACCACTTTGGGAGGCCGAGGCAGGCGGATCACGAGGTCAGGAGATGGAGACCATCCTGGCTAACACGGTGAAACCCCGTCTCTACTAAAAATACAAAAAAATTAGCCAGGCGTGGTGGCAGGCGCCTGTAGTCCTAGCTACTCAGGAGGCTGAGGCAGGAGAATGGCGTGAACCTGGGAGGCGGAGCTTGCAGTGAGCCGAGATTGTGCCACTGCACTCCAGCCTGGGTGACAGAGCAAGACTCCATCTCAAAAAAAAAAAAAAAAAGTATAGGCTCTGGTTTGTGGTAAATATTCTTTATTGTGCTAAAGGAAAACTCACTACTATGTGGATCTTTTCTGTGATCAAGAATATCAAACTTTATCAATGTATTTATAGTATCATGGCTTTTCTACTCTTCTATATTTTAATAATGATTAATATTAACCGTTCCCTTAATTTTATACTAAGCTTGCTGTATTTTCCCTGCTAAGATTGTAAGATTTTAGCATTTATTGTCACAAGTAGAATTAACTTTTTCCTTTTCTCATTACTGCACTTGACTAGTCTTTAAAAAAGAAAAAAGCAAAAAAGTTATTAGTTGGAAGTGTAGAGAAGGATAAGGGATACATAGAGAACATGTATAGAGGAAAATATAGAGAAGTATAGAGATGTACCTTTAATAAAATTAAAAGTACCCATATCACTATCAAAGTCAATATGACTCCAGCTCCTAAATATGTGAACACTATGATTCTATTTTCTTTCCTTTTTTTCTTTGGGACAGAGTGTTGCTCTGTCGCCCAGGCTGGAGTGCAGTGGCACGATCTCAGCTCACTGCAACCTCCACTTCCAGGGTTCAAGCAATTCTCGTGCCTCAGCCTCCCGAGTAGCTAGGATTACAGATGTCCACTACCACGCTGGACTAATTTTTTTAGTAGAGATGGGGTTTTGCCATGTTGGCCAGGCTGGTCTGGAACTCCTGACCTCAGGCGATCCACCTGCCTCGGCCTCCCAAAGTGCTGGGATTACAGGTGTGAGCCACTGCACCCGGCCTCTGTTATATTTCCTGAAGCACATACAACAATTGACATCAGGTAGACAGCCCAGAATGCCAATTGAGAAACATGAGAAGTTGGAAAATAAAAATTAGCCAAGGTTGAACCAAATGTGGGTCATTCAGAGTTGACTATATCATCATTCAGTTACACTACATCTGTCTCTGAGAATCTTCAGTGGCAGATGCCTGAGTTAAGAGACTAAAGCACACACTTCTTTATTAATATTTCATGTCTTAGAATTCCTTTGGCATGTTCCTGCCTCACATACCTGGATTCTTCAGCCTCGAGAGCCGTGCTCTGAAAATCAGGTATCTTTTCTTCAGAGGTCTTATTCTCCATCTCCTTGGATGTATTTGCCTCACTTTCTACTGGAGTCAAGGTAGTTTGAAAATATCTTTTACCTTCAAAAGTCAGTGTTATGTTTGAGATGGTGACATGTTTTGAGGATTCTTTCAGCTCACTCTTACTTTTTGTATCTTGTAGACACCCAGGCTTCAGAATGTTTTTCAATTTTTCCTTTAAAAATAAAAAGCAGCAGCAAATCAGGTAACAGAAGAGCATCAGGTAATAGGTGTTTGTGGAGCAGTATCTAATACAGGCAGCATTTCATTCATCATCACTTAACACCTGTGAGGAGTAGTAAGGAGGGAGAGAGGCTTAGAGTGGCACGACTATGGGGAGAGCCCCAGGTGTGTTGGCGGCAGGCTGTGTGGGAGCCAGGGCCTGCCCCACTGCAGCCTGACACAACATGTTCCCAAGCTCGTGTTGTCACCTCACAGAAGACAGTTGGCATCTCATTACAGCACAATAAATGTTTCCCAGAAATGCCACTGATTCCCCAGTCTGAGTTTGGTCTTAATTAGAGCATCTGATAGGTTACAGGGGCCAGGGGCTCATAATATAAGAGATTTTTTTTTTTTTTGGTCAAAAGACTTAGAACCTGTATCTAAAACTTAATACCCTAAAATCCCGCCCTGCTCCTAATTTCCCAGTTTCTGTTAATGTATCACCTCTCCTAGCCACTCTCTGATTTGCTCAGAATCACTCAGGACTCAAGGCAGTTGGTCAGCAGGCCCTAAAGCTGGCTTTCTAATGTCCTTCCTGTCCGCACCTTCTTCTTTCCACTGCCCCTGACTAGTCCATTACTTCTTGATATGGTTTGGATGTTTTGTCACTTGAAAATCTCATGTTGAAATGTGACCTCCAATGTTGGAAGTGAGCCTAGTGGGAGGTGTTTAGGTCTTGGGGGCAGATCCCTTGTGAATGGCTTGGTGCTGTCCTCACTGTAGTGAGTGAGTTCTCACTCTGAGTTGATGCGAGATTTGGTTGTTTAAAAGAGCCTGGCACCTCCTTCCTCTCTCTTTTGCTCTCTCTCTGGCCATGTGATGTGCTGGCTCTCCTTCTCTTCCGCACGACTGTAAGTTCCCTGAGGCCCTCGCTTGAAGCAGATGCCAGCATTGTGCTTCCTTTACCACCTACAGACCCATGAGCCAATTAACCCTCTTTTCTTTATTAATTGCCCAGCCTCAGATATTTCTTTATAGCGATGCAAGAATGGCCTAATATACCTCTACTGCATTTCCTTTAAAATGATGTAATAATTTTCTTCCTTAAAGATAAAACTTTTCCCTGACAATGAAAGTCATACATATTTATTATAGCATATTTGGAAAATCCTATAATGAATAAAGCTAAAGGTAGAATATTATTGCTTGCCAAGGCGGGTGGATTACTTGAGGCCAGGAGTTTGAGACCAGCTTGGGCAACATGGAGAAACCCCATCTCTACTAAAAATACAAAAATTAACTGGGCATGTGGTGGGCACCTGTAATCCCAGCTACTTGGAAGGCTGAGGCATAAGAATCACTTGAACCTGAGAGGTGGAGGTTGCAGTGAGCTGAGATCTCGCCACTGCACTACAGCCTGGGCAATGGAGTGAGGCTGTCTCAAAATAATAATAATAATAATAATAATAATAATAAATTATTGCTTGTATGATGCCACTGCCCAGAAACAACTACTCCTGTGCACATTTCACTCTGATCTTTCTATTTATTTTGTTTATGTCTACTTAGATCATCTTGAAGTTCTGTCTCCTACCTTTTTCACTTAACATTTTATTATAAGCATTTTCCTCCTGTCATTAAAAATTGTGTAGAACTATTTGAATTTTTCCTAATTAAAAATTAGGTTTTTTGTTTGTTTGTTTGTTTTTTGAGACAGGGTCTTACTCTGTCGCCCAGGCTGGAGTGCAATGGCGTGATCTCAGCTCACTGCAACCTCCACCTCCCAGGTTCAAGCAATTCTCCTGCCTCAGCCTCCCAGGTAACTGGGATTACAGGTGCTCACTACCACACCAGCTAATTTTTATTTTCTAGTAGAGATAGGGTTTTGCCATGACTGGTCTCAAACTCCTGACCTCAGGTGATCCGCCCGCCTTGGTCTCCCAAAGTGCTGGGATTATAGACATGAGCCACCATGCCCAGCCCTACCATTTTTCTTTTCGTGTGTGTGTGTGTGTGTGTGTGTGTGTGTGTGTGTGTGTGTTTTGAGTCAGGGTGTGACTCTGTCACCCAGGCTGGAGAGCAGTGGCACAATCTTGGCTTATTGCACCCTCTACCTCCAAGGGTCAAGTAATCCTCCCACCTCAGCCTCCCTAGCAGCTGGTACTACAGGCATGCCCAGCTAATTTTTGTATTTTTAGTAGAGATGGGGTTTCGCCATGTTTCCTAGGCTTGTCTTGAACTCCCAAGCTCAAGCAATCCACCTGTCTTGGCCTCCCAAAGTGCCGAGATTACAGGTGTGAGCCACTGCACCGGCCTTTTTTCTATTGTGGACCTAGAGGAAGTTTTTCAACAGTAGTCTCCAAACAGATCTCTTTACCTATAATCCATCCTGCCATTAGATTAATCTTTTAAAAACACAGGTCCTTCATTCCCTTACACAGGAGACTGTGGTCACTAAGGTTTGCCCAAAGAGTTCTCACTTTAAATTTGGCTCTCAAGGTTTTTAAGCAACTTTCCAGTCCTATTTTCTACTGTTCTCCATATATATTATCCTCTAGCCCAACTGAATGAAACATTTTTGGACATGACTCTGTGTTTTTCCACTCTCTGGCCTTTTCTAAAGCCATTCATTTTGTTTTGTTTTTCATTATCCTATTTCCATCCTCATGTTTACCCATAGAAATTCCATCCTTCAAGGTACTGGGTACTGCTATATATTTTTAAACCAGAAAATAACCCTTACATTGTATTAATATCCTTATTTTAGAAGTGAGGAAACTGAGGCTCATGTGGATTATGTGACTTGGGCGAAGTCACACAAGTAATATGCTGCAGGTTGAGAGTCTAACTTGGTTCTGATTCTGATTCCAAGGTTCTTTCCATTTCGGATGCTGGGCTAAGATTTATGTTAACGGTTGTCACTGCCTATTTCAGGAGACATCTTACAACTCCTTTACACCGGGGTTCAGAGATCGAATCTCACTATTAAAATTAGGTTACTCAGAGTAGGTAGGTTCCATAGCATTTTGATAATCAATGTCAGCTAACCAAGAAGTGTGATCTTGGTAATCACTCTAGTTCTCAATTATTAAAACATGAAAGCCTTCAGTGACACGTACCTTCTCCTCTTGCTTGGCCCTGATTAAGTCATTGTTTTCAAACACCACTGTGACTCCCGAGCAGTTTGTAATATCAGAGTTGTCTGTGACTTCTGTGGCTTCTCTGACTTCTATGACTTCTGTAACAATTCTTATATCCGGGACCTCTGGGACCTCATTTTCTGGAAGGTCTGTGACATCTGTGATGTCGGTGATGTCTGTGAATTCTGAGAAATCTATGCTGTCCCTGACATGTTCAGGGCCTCTACCTGCATACATGTACGGGGTCAGGATGGCTGTGAATGCTGTGATATCCATCACATCCATGGAGCCTGTGACGTCTGTGCTATTCGTAATTCCTGAGAGACTTGAAACCTCTGACACTTTGGAAACTTTGGCTTTCTCCTGATTCAAGAGGGAGATGAGGGCCACCCATTGAGAAAACAAGGTGTCCTGTTTACATGCAGAAGTGCAGAGCTGTAAGTAGTAGGCTCGACCACTCACCAGCTTTACTTTTAGGCGCATGTTCTCTGCGTCATGCACAGAAAGAGTCACAAACTGCAGAGGGAGAAACCTGCAAACAAGCACACAGTAACATCATCTGGAAACCTGATTGGAGGCTTATAAAAAGGCCTTTCTTATATATATAGTTGTTTGTTTGTTTGTTGGTTTGTTTTGAGATAAGGTCTCACTCTGTTGCCCAGGCTGGAGTGCAGTTGTGGTGTGATCATGGCTCACTGCAGCCTTGACATCCTGTGCCTAAGTTATACTCCCACCTCATCCTCCCAAGTAGCTGGCACAACAGGTATGTACCACCAACGCCTGGCTAATTTTTGTATTTTTTTGTAGAGACAAGGTTTCACCATGTTGCCCAGGCTGGTCTTGAATGCCTGGGCTCAAGCAATTCACCTGCCTTGGCCTCCAAAAGTACTGGGATTACAGGTGTGAGCCACCATGCCCAGCCTCTTTCTTATATTTTATAGTAGTTTGAAGAGTGAGACTCAAGACACCCGACTTGTCTCCCAGATAGATCTGGGTAAGGGCTCCTGAGGACCATCTCATCTTAATCATATACCTAAGGCTCTGATGTATAAAAATGTCAGAATAGGCTGGGTGCAGTGGCTCACACCTGTAATCCCAGCACTTTGGGACGCCAAGGTGGGTGGATCACCTGAGGTCAGCAGTTCAATACCAGCCTGACCAATATGGTGAAACCCTGTCTCTACTAAAAATACAAAAATTAGCTGAGCGTGGTGGTGTATGCCTGTAGTCCCAGCCACTCGGGAGGCTGAGACACGAGAATCGCTTGAACTGGGAGGTGGAGGTTGTAATGAGCCAAGATCGTGCCACTGCACTCCAGCCTGGGTGACAGTGCAAGACTCCGTCTCAAAAACAAAACACATCAGAATGTCAACTATTTATCATGAGAAGGTCTCCATTTAAATTAATCCTTCAAAGTTAACTTAAAGTCAAGCAATTTGCTCACGATCATAGACCAAGTTAGAGGCTGAGACAAGACCAGAGCTAACTCTGTTGGAAGCTGGGATGCTATGAAAGACGAGGCATGTTCTAGAAAGGCAGTTCATTATGAGTCTTCAGTTCCTGTTAATTAGATTTAGTTTTTAAAAAATTAACTGCCTGCTTGATATCCACTGTCATACATTATTTCATCCGTCTTTAAGGATGCTCCTCTTTGTCATTTGCAGCAGGGAATGCGAGTGAGATGCTCCTTTGGTGCAATTGTCATCAGTGTTTCTAATTTCAGATCCGCAGGGGTAATGCACATATTCTGAGAGATCTTTAACCTCTTCTCTTTGTAACTCACCTGGTGAGCACCAGTTTCTCTGCAGGAGGAGATGTCAGGAGACTTTTAAACAGGGGTTCTGTATCTTTCCGGGCACCAGGTGTCAGATGTGCCAGTAGCATCACATTAGGGATCTTGTGGGTGGAACTGGAAGAACAGATGCCTACGGTCACCCAGTTGGCTCGGTTATGAAGGTAAATAGATTCACCTCTCCTGTTAACCTGAGTGCAGAAAACAGGAAAAGGCATTATACGATGAAATGTGTGGCTTTGACAACCTTGCTTGCCTGAGAAGTGGAAGAGGGCAGGAAATAAAGGAGAAATGAACCATGATGTATTTGTTCCTTCACTTGCTCATGCTAATTCTTGGAGATACCACAGGGAACATACACAGTCTCTGACCCGTGGGGGTCTACCAGGGAAGGTAAACATTAAACAATTTAAGTATGTGACTAATTATTACTGTAAGAAGTGTTACCAAGTACAAGTTCAGGATGTTACAGGAGCACATAACAGAGGACTTGACTTAGCTTAGAGTGGGGAGATAGGCAGTGATATTCTGGTAACAGCTAGGTCTTGGAAGGTACACACATTTACACCTAAGTTTAAAATGTTACTGACATAAAAGACAAGCAGCACACACATTTACAAATAATATGCAATATTCTTTAGTCTTTAGTTTAAATTCCATAGAGCCAATTGATACATTCCACAAACTCTTGCCAAACTCTTATATTTATAACCTTAGAAGTATAGACAATAGTAAAATGTAGTAAAAGAATAGGAACAATGAGTTTTGAATATTTGTTGCCTTTATTTTAGATATGTTTATAAAATTTAATTTTTAAGAATTTAATTTTTTTTAGATGGAGTCTTGTTCTGTTGCCCAGGCTGGAGTGCCGTGGCGTGATCTCGGCTTACTGCAACCTCTGCCTCCCGGGTTCAAGTGATTCTCCTATCTCAGCCTCCTGAGTAGCTGGGATTACAGACACGTGCCACCAAGCCCGGCTAATTTTGGTATTTTTAGGAGAGATGGGGTTTCATCATGTTGATGGGGCTGATCTCAAACTCCTGACCTCAGGTGATCCACCCACATCGGCCTACCAAAGTGCTGGGATTATAGGCATGAGCCACCGCACCTGGTCTATAATTTATTTTTTAAAAAGACTGTGTTTAACAACTGACTTGCAAATTTCCTGAACACTTACCAATCGACCAATTCCAGCACACCCCTGGATATGGGGTCATGAAAGTCTCCCCGGAAGAAGAGACCTCTGGCTGATACCTGAACCATGTGGGAGATAAACTGGCTGGGTGGAGAGGAGAGGTTTCCAGGCAGAGGAAGAGCATGTATAAAATCTCCAAAGTCCAAGAAACTTGGCCAATAAAATCTCTGCCACTTGGTAGAAGAAGAGACTGGAGGATGGGCAGACAGGGAAATGAAGGAAGGCAGAGAGGAGCTACACTGTGGTTTCTCAGCTGTATGATAACTGGTTCAATTAAAAAATACATCATTGAGGCCGGGTGCGGTGGCTCACGCCTGTAATCCCAGCACTTTGGGAGGCCGAGGCGGGCGGATCACAAGGTCAGGAGATCGAGACCATGGTGAAACCCCGTCTTTACTAAAAAATAGAAAAAAATTAGCCGGGCGCAGTGGCGGGCGCCTGTAGTCCCAGCTACTCGGGAGGCTGAGGCATGAGAATCCCTTGAACCCGGGAGGCGGAGCTTGCAGTGAGCCGAGATTGCGCCACTGCACTCCAGCCTGGGCGACAGAGCAAGACTCCGTCTCAAAAAAAAAAAAAAAAAAAAAAAAAAAATCATTGAAAGAAAGAGGATGTAGCTCACACTATTGATAACCTACCCAAACTGTGCCCCTCTTCTTCCGGATTAACAGAATCCTGGTTTTGTCCAATATCATGGCTCAGGGATAATGACCCAGCTCAGGGATTAAATCCTGATTAACTTAAATGGGTAGTGGTGGTTCCGCTCCACCCCTTGCCAGTGACTGGTTCAGCAGTGGCATGTGACCAGCAAGACATAGAGGGGTCTCCTCCAATTCTGGAAAACCTTTCTCAGAGCCACCAGGAGACAGAGCCACCAGGATGAGATGAAGATGAATATATTCTACTGCTGGCAGCTGTCATTGTCCTGTTTGGATGTGATGCCCTGAGGGGAACTGGCTTGAAGGTGACAGAACGAAAAAAGAGAACGTGAGTCTTCTACTGGGAGTGAGCTGATGCCCTGGGGCTCTTTCACTCTATTTGAGATAATTGCTTTCTTTTTAATTTTTTAAAAAATATTTGTTTGTTTGTTTTTAGAGACAAAGTCTTGTCTTGTCATCCAGGTTGGAGTGCAGTAGTGCCATCCTAGCTAACTGCAGCCTGGAGCTCCTGGGCTTAAGCAATCCTCCCTCCTTAGCCTCCCGAGTAGCTAGGAATATAGGTGTGCAGCATTGTACCCTGCTAATTTTAAAAAATGTTTTTAGAGGTGGGATCTCCCTTGTTGCCCAGGTCAATATTGAACTCCTGGCCTCAAGCGATCCTCCCGCCTTGTCCTTCCAAAGGGCTGGGATTATAGCATGAGCCACTGTACCCAGACTAATTGTTTTTCTTTTTTCATTTAAACCTGTTCAGTCAGGAATCTTGGTAACTTACTGCCAAAGACATGCTAACCAGGTGGGGTTGTGCAATTTGAAGGATACGACTTATCAAATTATGATAGGGGGCTACATCTGACCTATAGACTGCTAACTACCCCCAGTGTTGGACAAGTACTATGTAATTTCGTTAGAGTGTGCAAAAGTTAACTAACTTGGAAAGGGCACAGGATGAAAGGTGGAAAAGTAAAAACATGATTAGTAGGAAAGAAGTATGTAGAAGGTAAAGTACATCAAATCATGACTTGTTACACGTGTTCTAGGGACATCACTAAAACATTAGATATTTTGGGAGGCTTCATCCTGCCTGTGGTATACTGGAGGTGGGTAGCTCACACTAGTACTCAAGTATGAGTGCAGAAAATGTGTTTATGGAAGATGAAGTCTCCTTACCATTTTTTTTTTTTTTTTGGAACAAGGAGTTTAGTTTTATTTTCTCTGTGCATTTGCAAAATACTCAGGACCAACATAAAAAAGAAATACCTCCTGTGGAAAAAGTTACATTAAAAAGGGGAATGGGGTGGGGGTGCTGAAAGGGATTAGTGCCTTAGCCCCAAGGAGCTACAGCATCTCTAATTGTTCCAAGGAATCAAAAAGATATTGGGAAGATGTAACAGGAGGAAGGAAAATGTGAATTTTCTGAGGGAGAGGGCACCAAAGCAGGTCTCAAGGGGCAACTGGTGGCTGGGGAGTGGGTCTGAGTGGAGGGAGAGGCTGGTAGCCATAGGGTGTGGGTCGTGCAGGGCCAGTGTACACATGAGGGGGGCATCAGTGGAGGAGGTCCACGCATACCATGTGGAAGCATAGGACCTGGGTGACCCATGGTAGATCCGAATGGAGACCCTTGGGGGGCATGCCGATTGGAGGAGGTCCAGGATGAGGCATTCCAGGATGAGGCATTCCAGGTGGTGGTTGGGGTGGTGGCTGCTCCCTAGAGCCTGGGGGTCCAGAATGGGGATGTCCTAAGCCATGAGGTCCATGGTGTGCCAGCTGCATCTGAGACATCCCTGGATAGGGCACCCCTCCTGGTGGGAATGGGTGAGCTTGTGAGTGTCCATAATCAGGATATCCTGCCTCTGGGGTTCCTGCTGATGGGGGACCATGTCCTGCAGCCCCAGGAGGCATAGGTGGTAGGGCATGGTGGGGGGTATCCCAGGTGGGAGGGCTCCAGGAGGCAGCACTGGGAGTGGGAAGGAGTCAAGAGGAGGCATGCCTGGTGGAGGAAGTCCAGACCCCAATGATAATACCACAGGATTGGGGGCAGAGGGTGGAGGAGGTGCATCTGCAAACAGCTGATGAGGGCGGTCAGGCTGGGAGAGCAGGTTCTGAGCTGCCAGAAGTCGTCCAGCTGCTAAGCCATGGCACTCACCCTTGGAGTCCTTCCTGAAGGCATAAGATATGGTGATAGGGCAGTTACAGAGGTACTGCCCATTCATGGCTTCAATTGCTGCATCCAAAGCATCAAATGAAGTAAAATTAATGAAGGCATAAGCTTTGGAGTTGCCTGTGTCAGGGTCCCACATAATCTTAGGGGTTTGTAAGATGACCCCAAAGGTGCTGAAAGTATCATTGCCCAGGCCAATCTTGAACTCCTGGCCTCAAGCGATCCTCCCGCCTTGTCCTTCCAAAGGGCTGGGATTACAGCATGAGCCACTGTACACAGCCTAATTGTTTTTCTTTTTTCATTTAAACCTGTTCAGTCAGGAATCTTGGTAACTTACTGCCAAAGACATCCTAACCAGGTGGGGTTGTGCAACTTGAAGGATATGACTTCTCATCATCAATCTCAGGGTCCAGGTTCCGAATGAAAATGTTGGTCCCTACATCCATGTTTTTGTTGTGAACTGATGTCTTGTTCACCTGTATCAGCTTCCCATAGAGTTTGATCATGTTCATGATCTTAATGGCATAGTCAGCATCATCCTCACTCAAGAATTCACAAAGTCATAGCCTTGGTGCTGGCCAGACTCTATCCTTTGGCATGTGGTGTTGACTACTGGTCCAGCCTGGAGAAACAGTTCCCAGAGCAGAGGTTCACTAACCTTCTCATCCACGCCCCCCACGTACACAGTGGCATCCTGGTTCTACTCGGAGATCGGCCTGGTAGCCATGGCAAAAGAGCTCCTGCCATCCTCTCCTTACCTTTTGAAGTCTCTGTTGTCTTCCCTTGTCACCCCTCTGTGAAATCAGCTAAGCAGCTGCTCAAATGTGTTAAGAGTTAGAGGTAATAGCTCAGTGTTTAGTGTTAAGACTTTGTTAAGGAATTTCTAGAAACTTTAGAGGTATGACCCCTATCATTGAACTCATTTCACCATTTCTTTGTCAGAACATTTTAATGTTGAATGTTTAGAGAAAAGTTAGCATTGCTCCCACATGCACAGAAATGCAGTTTCATTCATAATGTAGGGACATTCTTATGAGAAGGAAACTTTTCTCCCTGACACCATCTGACAATTACATTTTACCTTCAGAACTAAGAGTTAAGATTCATTGTAATCCCTAGTTGTGTCATAGATGTTCTTTAGAATGTCTTCTACGCCTAAGAAAGAAGTTATCTGTATGTTTCCCTGTGGCGGGAAATGCCAAAAATGGCTTCATGTAATTTTGGGAAGATTATGATGGAATGGCAATTACGGTAGAGTTAAGCCAGAAGTCCTTCACAAGAGTTTTGGGGACATTTGAAGTAAATGTCCTTTAACGCAGTAATTATTTCAGATTTTTTAAAGTTCCCAAATTGTTCTCTTTAGTAATATCACACATTCCCTTGCCACAATTAAAACAATTCTCCTACCATCCTTTTCAGTTTTCTTTGAGAAAATCACTGAAGTTATTAGAACTTAACTCAGGCCTTGAATATGATTTACCTGGATAAAATTGCTCTCTAACATGGGAGGAGATACAAAAGGGGCATACTCTCCTCCATCCAACATACTTTGAAGATCTCTTGGATCATGGGAGTGTGGGGTGCAGAGAGCATCTTGCTCATTGATCCTCGTGGTAGACTTGCTGGTGTTCTTCTTCATTGCACTTGCATATAAACATAAAAAACTGAGGGAATGGAAACACAATTAATGGGTACAGAGAGAATTTAATATCATAATTAAATTGCTTCATTTATTTATTAACTCAGCAAATTTTATCAATATCTGTGATATGCTTGGCACTGCACCAGGCACTTGTATTAATACATACATCTAAACAGGACTAATAAGATCCCTGCCCTCATTCAGCTTACACTCTATGGGGAGACAGGTAGTAAGCAAGCCAAAAGAAACTCAAACAAGATGTTGGATGATAGGGACTATCAGGACTTGAAAACAGATACATATAATAAAAAATGACTGGGGTATAGGGCTTTAAGACACTTATTAGGGTATTAGGAAAGGCTTCTCTAGGAGGTCTCTCAATATATTCCCCCACAGACCATTATTTTCTATCTTCCAAAGTAATGGTACCCTCTTCATCATGCAGGGTTCTCTAATCCCTTTTTTGTAAGTAGGTTATCAAAGCTATACTAAACTGAGAACACTTTTTCCAGACTATTCACCCATAACTGAGGCATAGCTCTTGGTTGTGTGCTCCTTATGAGAGTCTTAAGTCAGTGGAAAAATTGTCTTCCACAAAACTGGTCCCTGCTTCCAAGGTGACCACTGCTATAGGCAGCATCTTCAGTACATCGAGTCTCCAGGAGAGAGAAAAAAGAAAATAATCTTGGAAAGTAAAGTAAGTAGAAGAGGAAGGAAGAGGGAAAGGAAGGAAGAGAGAAAAGGGCAGGAGAGGATGTGGCCATGCAGCCCACTTGGTTTATCTGTAAGAACTCAAATCTCACCTCAACTCAGGCTGAGCCACAATCTTCTCTAGGAGATGAAGTTTTTAACTCACTTCAGTTTGAGCTTCCTCTTTTTCATGATGAAATCTTTTGTAAAAGAAACAACAAAAAGAAAATCAAATGTATACAGGCCAGGCACAATGGCTTACACCTATAATCCCAGCACTTTGGGAAGTCAAGGCAGGTCAATCACTTGAGCCTAGGAGTTTGAGAACAGCCTGGGCAACATAGCAAGATCTTGTCTCTACAAAAAATACAGAAATTATCCGGGTGTGGTGGTGCATGCCTATAGTTCCAGCTACTTGGGAGGTTAAGGTGGGAGGATCACCTGAGCCTGGGAGGTTGAGGCTACAGTGAGCTATGATCTTGTCACTGCACTCCAGCCTGGGCAATAGAGCGAGACCCTGTCTCCAAAAAAAAAAAAAAAAAAAAAAAAAAAGGCACTAATTTGTATACAAAAGAAACTAATTTCAATTCTCAACCTTACTGTTATTTCAAGTGTGAGGTCAAGGCCTTAGAAAGAGTTAGAGTTCTTCTAAGTATACTGGGTAGGTGAAGCGGAGTCCGAGGCTGCTGTCTATGTCGGAGCTAAGCTGTTGTTGATGATCCTCACCATGGTCTTTTGGTGAGTGCAACCAGAGTCATGAGTCCATAGCTCATAATTGGCTTGAAACTGCCAAACAGTGGAATCCTGAGCTCCTATGACCAATGAGGATATTTGATAATGTGGCAAAGGAAGCAGTACAGATTGTGTTACCTGGGTTGCATTTAATTGCTCTTTAAAATGTGCTCCTTACGATTACCTGAAAACCTTTTGTTGACATCTTCCAGTAAGATTAGGAAAGCTCCTGGCCAGCCGTGGTGGCTCACGCCTATAATCCCAGCACTTTAAGAGGCAAGGCAGGCAGATCACTTTAGGTCAGGAGTTCAAGACCAGCCTGGCCAATGTCGTGAAACCCTGTCTCTACTGAAAATATAAAAATTAGCCTCGCGTGGTGACAGGTGCCTGTAATCCCAGCTACTCAGGAGACTGAGGCAGGAGAATCACTTGAACATGGGAGGTGGAGGTTGCAGTGAGCCAAGACTCCAGTCTGGGCGACAAGAGCAAAACTGTACCAAAAAAAAAAAAAAAGAAAAGAAAAAAAAGGAAAGAAAGAAAGAAAAGAAAGGAAAAGAAAAGAAAAGAAAAAAGAGAAAAAGAAAAGAAGAAAGCTCTAGTATGAAACTTGTCGGAGGCTTAGAAGAAGGTCCTAAAGACTAGAGTGGAGCCCTTTAAGAAATGCACAGAGGATGATGGCACAGGAGCAAGAGCTAGATATTGTGTGGGAAAATTACCATAAGAAAGCATTATTTAGGAGGCCAAGGTGGGCGGATCACCCGAGGTCAGGAGTTTGAGAACAGCCTGGCCAACATGGCAAAACCCCATCTCTACTAAAAATTACAAAAATTACCCAGGCGTGGTGGCATGCACCTGTAGTCCCAGCTACTCCTAAAGGCCTCTCTAGGAGGTCTCTCAGTATATGCCCACTTGGGAGGCTGAGGCAGGAGAATTGCTTGAACCCGGAAGGTGGAGATTGCAGTGAGCTGGGATCGTGCCACTGCACTCCAACCTGGGTGACAGAGCAAGATTCTGTCTCAAAACACACACACACACACACACACACACACACACACACACCCAAAAATAAAGCATTAAGTTCTATAATTAGCAGCATGTTTTCCTTCTTAGTGGCACATAAAATAATGATATATCTTAATAATTGGTGGATCTTAGATTTGAGGAGATGCAGCAGTCAACTCTTGTTCATACAGAGTTAAGTGAAAGAGTGCACATTTTGGAAAAACAGTGCACTCTGAGAAAATGAAAACTGCACACTAGAGGGTGTGTCTACTGTTGACAGACACTTGCGAATCAGGAGATGCCACATGGCTGCTGGGATAGGGAAAGGCCCTTTCCACTGCTGTCATTTATGAGATCTCCAGAATCCCTTGCATCTGAGAATTCTCCTTCCAGAGAGCAAACAGTGGATGATCTCCCAGGTGAATAGGTGTAGCTGTGGATTCAGGACACAGAGAGGAAGGAGGAAGTGAGAGGAAAGGAAGGAATTCAGGGACATTTGCAGCCACGACTGGGTCTCGCCCCTTTTGTCCTTTTTGAACAAAGTTGAGTTTAGCTGAGGAGCGGAAAGTGTTAACAGGCTCTTTTATCAACTTTGCTGTGATGTTCTAAATATTTGTTCTGGAATTATTTTTACACTTTTGGATTATGTGTATAGCTGATAAGTGTGTGCTAAATTTTGACTGGTTTTGTTGTAATTGTGATTTGAGATATCTGTGTACTACACCCCTCACCCCACCAACATCTCCAATTATCCTAGTTAATTAGTCCAGGCTTGGGCGTGGTGGTGGCTCACGCCTGTAATCCTAGCACTTTGAGGCTGAGGGGGGCGGATTACCAGGTCAGGAGTTCGAGACCAGCCTGACCAATATGGTGAAACCCCATCTCTACTAAAAATACAATTAATCGGGTGTGGTGGCGTGTGCCTGTAATCCCAGCTTGTTGGGAGGCTGAGGCAGGAGAATTGCTTGAACCTGGGAGGCGGAGGTTGCAGTGAGCCAAGATTGTGCCACTGCACTCTAGCCTGTGTGACAGAACAAGACTCTGTCTTGGGGGAAAAAAATAGTTTAGGCTCTTAAAACAGAGAGATGGTTCTGTGAAGTCATCATTTTGGCCCAACACACACACACACACACACACACACATACCTCATCATCATATATTTTACCAATGGTAAAGTAAAATAACTATTTATTAGGTTCACTCTTTTTTTTTTTTTTCTACAGGGTCTTGCTCTGTCACCCAAGCTGGAGTGCAGTGGTGTAAACTGCAGCCTTGCCTTCCTTGGCTCAAGTGATCCTCCCACCTCAGCCTCCCGAGTAGTTGGGACCACAGTCCTGCACCATCCCGCCTGGGTAATTTTTGTATTTTTTGTAGAGACGGGATTTCACCATGTTACACAGGCTGGTCTCAAACTCCTGAGCTCAAGCAATCTGTCCACCTTGGCCTCCCAAAGTGCTAGGATTATAGGTGTGAGTCACTGTGCCTGGCCTTAGGTTCACTCGGAATATCTGGAGACAGTATTCAAGTTTTGGTATATGTCTTTCCAGTTTTACAAATAGATTTTTCACTTAATTTCTTTCTCTCTGTTTTTTGTTTGCCTGTTTTGTTTGTTTGTTTGTTTGTTTGTTTTTGAGACAGGGTCTTGCTCTGTCACACAGGCTGGAGTGCAGTGGTGTGATCATGGCTCACTGCAGCCTCAACCTCCCCAGCACAAGTGATCCTCCCACCTCAGCCTCCTGAGGTATTTGATATTACAGGTACACGTAACCGTCCAGCTAATTTTTAAAATTTTTTGTAGAAATTGGGTCTTCCTGTGTTGCCCAGGCTGGTCTCAAACTCCTGGGCTCAAGTGATCCACCCACTTTGTCCTCCCAAAGTGCTGGGATTACAGGCATGAGCCACTGTGCTTGGCCTACTTAATTTCTTTATATATATATACACATATATGTAAGTAATATATGTTAAAATGTATGTAATATATATTAATGTATCCCCATAACATTAACTATTTTTTTTTTTAAACAGCAGTTATCAATCATGGTGTCAAGCTATTTGGAACATGACAATCTCTTGTAAAGAGTTGCAAAAGTAATTGTGGCCAGTGGTTAAACTGATGCTTAAGAAATGATTTTCTTTTAAAAAGAAACAGATGGTTTCTGGGTTCTCTCCTGATAAGCTCCTTGCACTCTGCTTTGCCTTCTTGGTGTGCGGGCACAGTAGAGACAGGCAATCAAGCCTGACAATCAGTTCAGACCCCACCCTCTGATCCAATCACCTTACTAAGATATCATTATTAACTTTGGTGACTCAAAAATACATGTTGATTATTCAAGGTGTTAGCTAGGGAAAAGAAAGAAAGAAACAGAACTACCTGCTGAATGAAAGTCAGAATTAAAGCAGGGTTGTTATGGGCTATCATGTTAACACAGAGCTAGCTCCATGGCACAGACACATGGAATCTTTTGTCATAATTTATTCTATCAGGATTGTGTATCAGTCTTCACAATCATAGCTTATATTTTTCCAATAATGTTTGCTTTTTGCTGGGCCCATTCAACGTCCTATTCATCTAATTAAGCAGGCAGGATGCAGAGCCATGTTACAGGGAAGGGCTTTTGCTGAACCGCAGAGCAAGGATGGCACAAAGAATGGAGTTTTATTTGAGATGGATGAGCTCGTCCTATCACTAGCTGATCCCTTATGGTCTTTGTTACTTCTTTTAATCAGTACTTTTTCTCCCTCTCAATCCTTTCTCTGTTTTTCAAGTTCCAATTGAATGGTGATTCATTCAGCAGATAGCTACATTAGGTTGTACTTTTCTGCAGAATTACAGTATAATTTTCATTTGACAAAGTGTAGTTGGCTACTTTTAGTAAAAGAAAAGTTAGAGAGATTCCTTATTAAATCGGATTATAGATCAGAAACCAATGCTAGTTGTTCTATAGGAAAACCAAGCACAGAGAGGCAATGTGCTGTATGCGTTTCAAGAGGGAGTCACTTCAGCTGCTCTTCAGACATTCCGTGGTGTCATCAGGGCTTCCCTATCTGTGTATACTGTTTCAAGGATGATCAAGGCTCTATTTGGGCTGAGAACTACTATTCTTAGATACAAATATGGGATGCATTCACCCTGTGGTAGAGGTGGGGTGCCTTTATTTTCCTGGGGATAAACGCAGTCATCTGGAACTTTTTGGAAATGTGACAGCTTGAGTGTTCATGGCCATTGGGAAGGGGAGAGTGGGAATCTGAAGAGCCAGTGTTGCACTGTCTTGATTGGCTTTTCTGACTGCCTAATTCAGAGAGATGTCTGTACATGCCCCTAAAATGTCCTCTACAAATGTTTCCTGTTTACCATTACAATGTGGTATTTTCCCTCCAATATTTTATTATAAAAAGTTTCAAACTTCTGGCAAAGTTGGAAGATTTCTATAGTGAACACTCATAAACCCACTACCTGGATTCTCATGTGGTCTTTTTACTGTGTTATTTGTCTGTAATTACATGATGGCTCTTTTTTTTTTTTTTAGATGGAGTCTCGCTCTGTCACCCAGGCTGGAGTGCAGTGGTGCGATCTTGGCTCACTGCAACCTCTACCTCCTGGGTTCAAGTGATTCTCATTCTTCAGCCTCCTGAGTAGCTGAGATTACAGGTGCCCACCACCGTGTCTGGCAAATTGTTGTATTTTTAGTAGAGACAAAGTTTTGCCATGTTGGCAATGCTGGTCTCAAACTCCTGACCTCAGGTAATCCACATGCCTCAGCCTCCCAAAGTGCTGGGATTACAGGCGTGAGTCACCACACCTGGCTACATGATAGCTCTTAAATGACAGCATTTACCTGTCACTCGTTAAAGTTGTTCTCTGTAGTCCTTGGAGCTTTGAGGTTAATTATTCCCAGCACTTTGAAGTGTGGCATTTACCTATGTGATTTTTCCCAACATTCTTACTATACTAATAAACATATTTTTAGGCTAGGTCTAGTACAATTCTAGGTTGCAGTTCTGGTTGCACCTTTGCAGGAGGCTAACTGTTGTGGCCCCTATCTCTTGAAAATGATATCCCCATGCCCAACCTTTCAGCTTTGAAGAGAAAGCCTTGTGTTCTGAATCTTGAAACATCTGAGTAATTAAAAAGGGCTGTTTCCCCCAAAATTTATTCAATTCTCAGTCTTTTGATAATTTTTTCTTATGGACGAAAATATTGGGATAACAGTCTGAAAAATCAAAATTTAAAAACAGGCTGGGCACAGTGGCTCACGCCTGTAATCCCAGAATTTTGGGAGGCCAAGGCAGGCGGATCTCTTGAGTTCAGGAGTTTGAAACCAGCCCGGCCAACATGACGAAACCCCATCTCTACTAATATCATAAAAATTAGCCAGGCATGGTGGTGTGTGCCTGTAGTCCCAGCTACTTGGGAGGTTGAGGCACAAGTATGGCACAAGTATGGCTTGAACCCGGGAGGTGGAGGTTGCAGTGAGTTGAGATCACACCACTACACTCCAGCATGGGCAGCAGAGTGAAGCTATGTCTCAAAAAAAAAAAAAAAAAGGTGGGCACAGTGGCTCACACCTATAATCCCGGCATTTTGGGAGGCTGAGGCGGGTAGATCACCTGAGGTCAGGAGTTCAAGACCAGCCTGGCCAACATGGTAAAACCCCGCCTCTACAAAAATACAAAAAAAAAAAAAAAAAAAAATTAGCTGGGCATGATGGCCAGTGCCTGTAACCCTGTCTCTACTTCAAAAAACAAAACAAAACAAAACAAAACAAAACAAAACAAAAACCAAAATTATCTGGGCATGATGGCACACCTGTAATCCCAGCTACTGGGGAGGCTGAGACAGGAGAATCGCTTAAACCTGGGGGTTGCGGTGAGCCGAGATCGTGCCATTGCACTCCAGCCTGGGTGGCAAGGCGAGACTGTCTCAAAAAAAAAAAAAAAAAATTGAAAACAATCCAGAAAACATGCTTTCATTTCAAACTCAAACTCTCAATGAAATTATTTCTAAGAAAAAGAAAAGCAGTCACCAGGTGTTAAGTCTCTCGGCTTTTCTGTTTGTTCTGGTTGAGGTAGAAGAAATAAAACTAGAAGGAGAAGAGGAAGATGGAAAAAAAAAATAGACATTCTGCCCTCGAATTACCAGAATTAATTGAACTATTCATTTCCTTCTCCATCAGTTTCAAACCCAAGTTGCAGTAATGAGACAGTCACTTACCAACAGATGGGGCTGAAATAGATCTCTGGAGATCTCCTGGATGTCGACTAGGAAAACAATCTCCAAACAGCACGTTTCCACTCTTTTCACATTTCTTTAGCAGGTGTTTATGTCTACCCAGCAGGCAAATAAACACTTAGTAAAAGGAGCGCAGTCCAGGCTGCTCTGGGCATTGTTCTATTGCTGCTGCATCATAATCATAATGTGCTGACATAGTCTCGCAGTAAGAAAAGAAGGGCACTGGGGAGGAGCAGCCCTGCAGGTCTGCCCCTGAGAGGAAGTGTAGTCAGCATTCCCGTGGAGCCCCGACCACTCGGGAGTGGGCATTCAGGTGGTGGTGTGAAGTTTTCAGAAGATTTCTTGGAGAGAAAAGTCAATTTAGCAATAGTATAACCACGGAAAAAATATCATATTTTACATCATTGATCATTCAATTGATAATTTATTATTCAATTTCCCTGTATCCTAAGTTTCAGAGACTTAAACGTATTTAAGGCACTTTGAGCCTCTGTGAAGAAAAGCATCAAAAGAATATAGCATTTTTAGAGGGAAACTGCTTAGAAACAGAGCTGAGGCCGGGCACAGTGGCTCACGCCTGCAATCCCAGCACTTTGGGAGGTCAAGGCAGGAGGATTGCTTGAGCCCAGGATTTTGAGATCAACCTGGGCAACACAGTGAGACCCTATCTCTATTGAAAGAAAGAAATGCTTTTAAAGATGCACAAAATATAAAACTGTATGTATAACTTCATTTGGAGATTGTAAGTCTGAATTTGTGGCACTTTGTCAAATTGAGGTCTGTGAGCAATTAGCCCTCTTTGTCCCTCATGAGATGGGCCTGCCTGTTCACGCCTGCATGGGATCTTCTTAGCTGCATGTCCTAAGCTTGGGATATGAAGGTTTCCTGCCACATTCAGTCCCTGGTGAGTGCAATGCCAGGTACATTCTTTCAGTCAACTCAGTAATGAATACTTACTATTTCCTGTGCATCATGCCATGCTGGACCACAAAGATGAACAGTCTCTGCACTCAAGAAGTTTACCATCTAGTGGAGAAGGGGTCATGTAAACAGAGTATTTCAGTGTTATGTAGCGATAAGATGGAGGGGTGACAGGGGATTCTGAGAGCACAGATGAAAGGCACTTAGTCCAATTGGGGGATTTAGGGACAGTTTCATGGAGGAGCTAATATCCAAGCTAAATCCTGAAAGATTGGTCAGCCTGAGCAAAGGCACAGAGGCATGAAATGACAGGGTTTGAGGGGTAACTACAAATGGTCTGGTGTTACATAAAGTTGAAGAGGAGAGAAAAAATGAAGTTCATGGAAGAAGGGCCTACATTGTGGAGGGCTTTGAAAGCCATAACTAGGTGCTGAGACTTCATCTGCTCCAGTAGTTCTAATAAATAGTGTTACATGGAGAGATTTATGTTCTGAACTGATTATTCTGAGAGCAGAGTGGAGGATAGATTTGGGAAGGGCAATTCTGGAGATACTAAAGCCATGGTAGTGGCAGTGGCAGTGTCAATGGAAAGGAGGGGGTTAACTTGGGAACTATTAGTAGAGTCCATAGAATTTGGTGACTCACTGATGTGGGGAGAGAAAAGGTGACTCAGAGTTTTGGGAAGCTGGGTGAATGACGGTGCCATTAACTTGGAAACAAACTACAGGCAGAGGAACAGGTGTAGGAGGCAGAAAGAATGAGGTGCTTGTTTGCAGGAGACCTTGGTTAGCATGGTGCCTCGTATTAAACTGTTTAGTAAACGATTTCTTTCTTCTTTAAATGTTCAGTACCTTCCTAATGCTTTTAGAATATGTGACATGTATCATAAGGTATGTGTATATATTTAGCATTAAACTCAAGAGCCTATATATTTGTGAGCATGATCTGGCTCCATCCTGGCTTCAGTTCTTTCCAACTATATTTCAGACCACTTACACCACTCCCTCATCATACTTCTGTCTCCTTCCTGATGTTGCATTCCTTAAGCCATTTCCTGTCTGAAAAGCTCATCTCCCAGCTCTTCACATGTGGGCTTATTTTCGTTTTTCAGAACCCAGCTCAGATGTCAACTGTTTAGAGAGCTGTTTCTCAATCATTTGGTCATTGATTGTCTCTCAGCTGCAAATGCACCACAGCATACTCTGCATTGATTTGCTGGAGCTCTGCAAACTACATTTCTCTCTCCAGCTAGCTTTCTGTTAGGTTCAATAATAGGTTGCATTAGACCAGAGGAGGCTGGAAAATAGGAGGGAAGAAGAGACTTGTGTTCCCTCTAGTTGACCTGCTGTTTCTCTCAGTGTCACCTGGGCAACAGCAACTGGTTCTAGCCTGCATTTTGGTTGTTTTGTTTTTGTTTTTGACATTCTCAGAATCAGCAATTGGGCAGCGCCCTCTCCTTAGAGGGCTGAGTCCTGGCTCCAACGGGTCCAACCTCTGAGCTTCCAGGCTGTGATTTCCCTAACCTATCCCTTCCAACTCCCCAGCCCTAGTTGTGGGAGTTGCTTCTTCTAGTTGTCTCTGATATCTGTGTTTCCTTTGTGCTTTTTTTCTAGGCCTCCAATACCTATTTAACATATTCCTGCACTGAAGTCTCTCTGTTGAAATACTTAATGTGATTTCTGCTTCTTTAAAAATGGCTGCCGGGCGCGGTGGCTCAAGCCTGTAATCCCAGCACTTTGGGAGGCCGAGACGGGCGGATCACGAGGTCAGGAGATCGAGACCATCCTGGCTAACACGGTGAAACCCCGTCTCTACTAAAAAATACAAAAAACTAGCCGGGCGTGGTGGCGGCGCCTGTAGTCCCAGCTACTCGGGAGGCTGAGGCAGGAGAATGGCGTAAACCCGGGAGGCGGAGCTTGCAGTGAGCTGAGATCCGGCCACTGCACTCCATCCTGGGCGACAGAGCCAGACTCCGTCTCAAAAAAAAAAAAAAAAAAAAAAAATGGCTGGATCCTGACACAACCACTGAATCTGATTGAGGCTTCCACCCAGTCACTGTCTAACATGTCATTGAATGTTCTTCACATACTTTTCCTAACCTGCATTTAAATTGTTTTCCTTTCTCATAATCTCTCTTCTTCACTTAGATATCTGAGACTGTCTCATTCATCATTGTATTCTCAGTGCCTAACATGGAGCCTGGCATACTGTAGGAGCTTAAGAAATGCTTGTTAAATAAAATGAATGATTTCAAAAGACTGCAGGAGAAATACTGGTAGCTGGCCATACAAAATGGACAGGATTGAGCAAGTCTTTAACTTTTTGGTTCTAGGCCAAGTTATTGATGAATTCTGTAACAACGTAACACAGAGAGTCAAGCATAATGCTTCTTATAAACATGTCAGAATGCAATGCATTATTTAATGTAGACCCATCCTCATTAGAATAACAAGACATACCGTTTATTTACTTTGAATTCTATACTTGTATAACCCCCTACCCCACTTTCTATAATTGGGAATGATAATGACTTACATTGTTAGGGGTTCATGAAGATCAAGAATTGCTAACAGGTTAGATCTACAACATTTTTTGATTAGCAAATAATTTTAAATATGAAAGCCATCCAAAAGAATCCACCTGCTGTAACATGCAACATCACCAAGCATTTACTTGATAAACATCGCCGGCTTATGTTCTTTTTTTCATTCTGGTATGATTTGAAATAACCAAAACACAGAATCAAAAAATCTGGTTAAAAAGGAACTGCTTAACTTTTACACAGATATAATCAAAACCTGAAAACATCTTCTATAGCCTTTTATGTAAGTATCAACTACTAAGACAAAAAATACTTGTAATATGCTTCTTATATAATTTTAGTCAAATAAATGCAAATAGATTAGATAAAATTGATGTCCGCGGTGCCAAGTAGAAATATTTTGTTGAACTTTAACATTTAAATGACATTTCCCCTGTTTCCACTTCAAGTGTGTTCATATCTTCTCCTTTTTCTAACTCAGAAGGAAAAATGTTCCTTTTCTTTCCCAGCTGAATTGGGCCACTAGGGTCCTTAAATCCAGCCCTTCTTTCCTCTTCTTTCTCCTTTTAGGATACTACTCTTGCATTGTTAATATGCCCACCACTGTTGTTTCTTTTTCAAAACCCACAAACCAAATCTTCCCTCCACTTTGTTATCAGTTCATGCTACTATTTTGTCTTTCTTTTTTCACACACAAATTCAGAAGAATTCATGTTCACAGTTTCTAGATTGTAATCTGGCTTTTGCTCTTAACCCACTACTAAAAGTGCACTCTTAGAGTTCGCAAATAATTGCCTAATCAATAAGGCTTTTTGAGCCTTCATTCTTCTTGGTATTTCTTTTGCATTTACAGTTGATCCTTCTTGAGACTCTCCTCCTTGGTTTGTGGGACCCTGCACTCCTTCTCTTCTCTTCTACAAACTGTTTTTCCCCTGATGCCATTCATGGCTTTTTCCTCCAACACCCCAAGGCCTGTCCTCTTCTCTTGGCAAGGCTTTTCTTGATAATCGTTTCCATCCACCCTTGCATTTCAGATGCCACCTTTATGTGAACGATTCCCAAGGTTGTATGCAGTCAGTAACTCTTCTGTGAACCCCTAACCTGTACTTTCAAATGCCAATGGGACATGTCTATCTTAGCACTCCTGGCATCTCAAACACATGCCCAAACTCAACTCCTCCATAAAACTCATTTTTTCTTTCTTTTTGTTAATGTTTAACATTTTCTCAGTCAGCCAAGAGGGGAGACTTTGAATCATCTCTCCCTTCTTTAACTTCCTTTCCAAAACTTGAAATCAGCCATAAAATTCTTTCCATTCTTTTCTCTCTAGAGATGTATCCATCTGTCGGGACCTTCCCATCACTATCACCATCACCTCTACCCCCTCACCTGCACAATTGCTATAACTTAACTGGTGTCTTTCATTTATTTCTCCCATTCTAGTCTATCTGCCTGAAGGCTGCCAAAGCATTTTCCCTAAAAGGATATCTCTGATCATGATAAATCCCTGATCAAGAATCTCTAATGGTTTTATTGTCTCTAGAATAAATCTAGACTCTTAATTTGGTACTTAAGAACTTTAATACCAAATAACTTTAATAACTTTTGGGCCTTAAATCAGTATTTTTTCAGTCTCCCAAACATCTTATACCTATTTTGTTTCTATAACTTAGGAGTTTAAGAAGATAGACTGTAGGCTGAGTGTGGTGACTCATGCCTGTAACTCCAGCACAGTGGGAGGCTGAGATGGGCGGATCACTTGAGCCTAGGAGTTCAAGACCAGCCTGTCTCTGCAAAATACAAAAAAAATTAGCCAGGTGTGATGGGTAGTCCCAGCTACTCAGGAGGCTGAGATAGAAGGATCACTTGAGCCCATGGAGGTCAAGGCTGCAGTAAGTTGAGATCATGCCACTGCACTCCAGGCTGGGCAACAGAGTGAAACCCTATTTCAAAACAAAACAAAACAAAACAACAACAACAAAAGAAAAACAGAATATAGGTGGGGCACGGTGGCTCATGCCTGTAATCCCAGCGGATCACCTGAGGTCAGGAGTTTGAGACCAGCCTGGCCAAAATGGTGAAACTCCATCTCTACTAAAAATAGAAAACTTAGCTGGGCATGGCAGTGCATGTCTGTAATCCTATCTACTTGGGAGGCTGAGGCAGGAGAATCGCTTGAACCCAGGAGGTGGAGGTTATAGTGAGCTGAGATTGCGCCACTGCACTCCAGCCTGGGTGACAAGAGCAAGACTCTATCTCAAAAAAAAAAAAAAGAGTAAAGACTGTAGAGTCAGATTGCTAAATTTGAATCCTTGCTCTCTCTCCTACTATCTATGTGACCATGGACAAGTTTCTTAATCTCTGTGCCTCAGTATCCTCATCTTAATACAGGAAAACCAATGCTTATAGGGTTGTGAAAATTAAACATATAGAAAGTATTTAGGATAATGCCTGGCCTACAGTAAGTTCTACATAATGTGTTTTATTGAGAAAATATTTACTGATGCTTGTATATATGCACATATGCCAGAGACTCTTCTAGGAATTTGGGGATAACAGGAATGAACATAATAAACAAAAATCTCTACCTTTGTGGAGCTTAATATATGACAAGCACTGCTCTCAGCACATTTCATATGTTTAATTTCCACGACAACCCTATAATTGTTATTCTTCCTATATTACAGGTATAGAAATTATTCTATAATAATTATCATTAATTACCTGTCATTCTCTGTTTTTGGAATACCCTTTTTCCTGTGCTATCATCTTCAGAATTCTACCATCCTTCAAGACGCAATAACATCCGCTGGGCATGGTGGCTCACAACTGTTATTCCAGCACTTTGGGAGTCCGATGCAGGAGGATCACTTGAGGCCAGGGGTTCGAGGCTGTAGTGCACTATGACCATGCTACTGCACTCCAGCCTGAGCAGTAGAGCAAGACTGTGCCTCTACAAAAAAAAAAAAAGACCCACTAACATGCCATCTTACTCCTTGAAATCTCATCTGAATTCTTCCAGCCCTTAGAATCTGTATTATGGCATTTATCACATTCTATACACTCTACTATATATTATCAAATATATTAAATATTGTGGTTATTTGCATGCATTTTTGTTATCTCCCTAATGAAGTGTGATGCCAGGTGCTCTGCCCTATTCATGTTTGTAAATAGTAGCATGATGTACTTTGTACCTAAGAACACAGTAGCTGCTTAACAAATACTTCTTGAATGCATGTACATAAAAGGATTCTTTGCATACTCTCTCATTTGACCTCTATTAACTAACCTTATCTTCTTCAACTGTAAATATGAAATGAAAATATCACATATCAGTATCACATATTTGTTTACTATTTGGCCTTTACTTACCATCCCTTGACACTTTGTTTACTAGTAGGCCAATTTTTGTAGTTTGCTTTCCTGAGCACATTTTACAATATATTTAACATCTTTCTGTTACTACCATTTGAAAAGTGCCCCTAAGTTTTTATTAAAGGAGTCATTGTGGATAGAGTATATTTTACCTATTGTGTTTTCAATGGTCAGCACATATATTTTTTCCCATTTCCTTACTAACACAGTTAAAAAATTTCAAGGTGCTCATCTGTAATTTTTTGGTTCATTGCTTATTTTTTTCTCCATTTCAAAGAACTGTAGATGTTTGAAATTGACTTTTATGGCATCTAAAATATGAATTTTTTTTCCAAGTCATTAATACCCTTCCTCTAAATTTGCTTGCTATTCTCCAGCTATGACTGGAAAGACCAGACCAACTACAGGTTCTCCTACCTTCTCATCTGTATTTTCACATGCTACAGATCATAATGCTATGATCACATTTTTTCCCAAACATTGTAGTAAGATACAGAGTTACAATATACCATATTTTAAATCTTCTTGGTAGGCCATCTTAACTATTCCTTTTATTAGGCAGAACCCTATCAGAATGGCATGACATTCTTCCCTTTTTTAATAACGAGGCCAACACATTACATTTTTAAATAATGATCAAGGAATTTTTTTTTATTCATTAAGTTTCGTATCATTACAGAAAATGTTATGATACAGAGTTGTTTAACATTATTTTGTCTTTGCTCTTGATTTCCACATGAATGCTGGTAACACTAGTATCTGTACAAGATCAGTCTTTGATTTTATTTTTTGTTCTGTACAATTTTAAATGTATTGGTTAAAAAGGCTGTCAGCACTTAAGGAAGCATTTTTTCTTCAGTTTGTTTGTTCAAATAAAAGGTGTCCAGTTACTGCCCAAGAGTACTGTGCCATGAGGCTACTGGGGCGAGAAACCTCCCTGGATGCTCTGCAGGGGATGGTTCTTGAGGCAAAGCAGAGCCTCCCTCCACCCAGTCAGTCTTCTTTTGGCACTGTGCACATAAACACGAGATACATGAGAAAGAACAAGCAAAAGTTCTCTGTAAAGCAGTTATGAAGCATACTAAGAAGGGAAATCCAAGTATTGCCTACGCTAGTATAAATAAGCAGACAGCCTTGATTTAAGAGCATAAGTAGTTGTATTTTAAAGATGAGAAAAACACAAGTTCTGCAGGCACCTACCGCTGTCTACTAAAAGCTATCGCTATCAGACCTAGCATTGAACACACAAAGCAATTTGCAAGAAAGGAAAAATTTGCCTTGATATAATCAGAATAGAATTGTTTGTTAAGATTTATTTTTAGATGTTTTTTTCTTTAAAAGATATTTAAATTCATTTGAAATATAGTTCAAGATGTTGACTATACAGATCAACTTTTATCCAAATCGGGAAAACTAGCTGTGCCGTTGCATATTACAGGATACAGTCAATGATATGTGGACATGCATCAAAGCTTTCTCCTGCTGGTGACCATCATAGCCGTCCAATGACCATGACATCCACCACCTCGCCTTTGTGGAGCTCCACATACTGTTCTGTCTTTGGAGGTAGCATCAACAATCCATTGGCACTGCGCATGCTCATCAGACGGCTGCTCATTTGATTACCTAGAAAGAAATACTCTTATTACAGCAGCCCAAGCATCATGGCATACACATTTGGGCCCTTGTAGACCTTTTCAAAACGTAAACAGACAGAAATGCAGGTCTTCAAGAGGAGAAGGGATGATCAAACTTTCCAGTATCTTTTTCAGGTGGCCATGATACTATATCCTACCACCAGCTCATTCAAACTTTAAAAATAAACATTAGAAATTCTTGTTTGAAGGAGTAAAACCAGGATTTTATAGCATTATGCAAAATGCCACAGAATTTCTCAATTCAGGCTGAAATGTTATGCGTGTCTGAAAAGGGAGGCTTTATAAAAACCTATTAAAATAATAATGACAATAATGGTAGCAGCTACCATTTCTTTACTAAGTGCCAAAGTACTAGGCACTTTACTTAAACACCTTATTTGATTCTCACAAGACTCAAAAAATTCTTAGGTAACTTGCCTAGGATCCTGCTAACTAGGTTGGTGGCCAATTTGAATGCAGCTGTCTCTGATGGCAAAGCTCATGAACTTGGTCACTGTTAGCTGATGTTTTCACTTAGTCGTACAATTTTTCTAGAGTCACATCAAAAGTTAGGCAAAATATGACTAGGGAAGTTGGGAATAACAGTTTAAAGTCTAGTGGAGGTCACTATAGAACTCTGAATTATCAATATTGATTTCTCTGCCCTTCGAATTTACCAATAAGTAGGGTATGGTAGAGGCAACAGAGAACCACATTATAAATTGGGCTTTCATCTCACATTTCAAGATGGTATAGCTAGAATCTTCTCCTTTTCCTACAAAGTTATACTCATAACTTATTGGTTGAACAAACATATCAAATCTTCTGTAATTCCAGATTTATTACTGAATATTAGTCAATGATATGTGGACAATCTAAATGTTTATCTATAAAATATGGCTCAATAAAATAAGTAAACTTCTAATAGTTATTTTTTAACTTTTGCTATACTGTTTAGGAATAATTTGACTCATCTAACTTTTCAAAAAGGAAAATGTGTAATAATTACAAAATCAGTTATAACCAAGGAAGATTATATATAAATTTGTGTTTTAACAGGATAGGTGCCTAGAAATATCTGTAGATGTGAATGACTAACCTGTACTCTGTGCCCAAGGTAGTGGTTCTTGGTGATGCCAAGTTAGTATACACCGATGGTATTCTGGACGAGGATCGAGTTTTACATCACATGATAACTACAGAATAAAGAAGAAAAGAAAACAAACTTGGTCACCTGATCATCTGACAAAACTACAAGATGGTAGGGGTTGTGCAAAGAATATACTGGACATGGAGACTATCCTTGGTATTCTGTTGTTGCTATCACTACCACCTTATGTTCTTTTTCTTGTTAAATAACATTCAATTAAAATGTATTTTTTCTTTTGACACAAGGTCTCACTCTGTTACCTAGGCTGGAGTGCAGTGGCACGATCATGGTTCACTGCAGCATTGACCTCCTGGGCTCAAGTGATCCTCCTGCCTTGGCCTCCTGAGTAGCTGGGACCACATGCATGTGTCACCACACCTGACTAATTTTTATTTTTTTTGTAGAGATGGCGTATTGCTATGTTGCTCAGGCTGGTCTTGAACTTCTGAGCTCAAGCAATCCTCCCATCTGGGCCTCTCAGAGTACTGGATTCATAGGCATGAGCCACCATGCCTGGCCACCTTATATTCTTAATACAGGAAGTCCAGGGGTTGGGTTGCTCTGGTGAAAAGAGAAAAGAAGGCTAAGAAGATGGTGTTCAGCTTTGGTTTGTCTGGGAAAGGCCTTTGTTCCTGAAGGCCCTTGTTCCTGAAGGATAGCTTTGCTGCATGTAGTATTTCTGGCTGGCATTTTTTTTATCAGCACTTTAAATATATCATTCCCTTCCCTTCTGGCCTGTAAGGTTTCTGCAGATACATCTACTGTTAGTCTAATATGGACTTCCTTGTATGTATGTAATTCTTTGTCTTCAACTTTTGACAAATTGGGAAGGATCTTTTGGGTTGAATATATTTGGAGACCTTTGAATTTCCTGGATCTGGATGTCTATATCTCTCAACAGATTTGGGATGTTTTTCAGCTATTATTTCATTAAATAAGTTTTCTATCTTCCCTTCTCTTCTTCTTCTGGACTCTGATGATAAAAATATTTGTTGATTTAAATTCAGGAAGTACAGAGAACACCATAAGGATATTCCTCGAGAAGAGCAACCCCAAGGCACATAACCGTCAGATTCACCAAGGTTGAAATAAAGGAAAAAATGTTAAGAGCAGCCAGAGAGAAAGGTCGGGTTACCCACAAAGGAAAGCCCATCAAAATAACAGCAGATCTCTCAGCAGAAACCCTACAAGCCAGAAGAGGGTGGGGGCCAATACTCAACATTCTTAAAGAAAAGAATTTTCAACCCAGAATTTCATATCCAGCCAAACTAAGCTTCATAAGTGAAGTAGAAATAAAATCCTTTACAGACAAGCAAATGCTGGGAGATTTGCCACCACCAGGCCTGCCTTACAAGAGCTCCTAAAGGAAGCACTGAACATGGAAAGGAATAACTGGTGTCTGTCACTGCAAAAATACGCCAAATTGTAAAGACCATCGATGCTATGAAGAAACTGCATCAACTAACGGGCAAAATAACTAGCTAGCATCATAATGACAGGATCAAAATCACACATAACAATATTAACCTTAAACATAAATGGGCTAAATGCCCCAATTAAAAGACATAGACTGGCAAATTGGATAAAGAGTCAAGACCCATCAGTATATGCTGTATTTAGGACACCCACCTCACGTGCAAAGACACAAATAGGCTCAAAATAAAGGGACGGAGGAAGATCTACCAAGCAAATGGAAAGCAAAAACAGCAGGGGTTGCAATCCTGTCCTAGTCTCTGATAAAATTGACTTTAAATCAACAAAGATCAAAAGAGACAAAGACAGCCATTACTTAATGGTATAGGGATCAATTCAACAAGAAGAGCTAACCATCCTAAATATATATGCACCCAATACAGGAGCACCCAGATTCATCAAGCAAGTCCTTAGAGACTTACAAAGAGACCTAGACTCCCACACAATAATAATGGGAGACTTTAACACCCCACTGTCAATATTAGACAGATCAACAAGACAGAATATTAACAAGGATATCCAGGACTTGAATTCAGCTTTGGATCAAATGGACCTAATAGGTATCTACAGAACTCTCCACCCCAAATCAACAGAATATACATTCTTCTCAGTACCACATTGCACTGATTCTAAAATTGACCACATAATTGGAAGTAAAACACTCCTCAGCAAATGTAAAATAACAGAAATCGCAACAAAGTGTCTCTCAGATCACAGTGCAATCAAATTAGAACTCAGGATTAAGAAACTCACTCAAAACCGCACAACTATATGGAAACTGAACAACCTGCTCCTGAATGACTACTGGGTAAATAATGAAATGAAGGCAGAAATGTGTGCTTTGAAACCAATGAGAACAAAGACACAACATACCCGAATCTCTGGAACACGTTTAAAGCAGTGTGTAGAGGGAAATTTATAGCACTAAATGCCCACAAGAGAAAGCAGGAAAGATGTAAAATAGACACCCTGACATCACAGTTAAAAGAACTAGAGAAGCAAGAGGAAACAAATTCAAAAGCTAGCAGAAGACAAGAAATAACTAAGATCAGAACAGAACTGAAGGAGACAGAGACACAAAAAAACCCTTCAAAAAAATAAATGAATCCAGGAGCTGGTTTTTTGAAAAGATCAACAAAATAGATAGACCGTTAGCAAGACTAATAAAGAGGAAAAGAGAGAAGAATCAAATAGACATTAAAAAAAAAATGATAAAGGGGATATCACCACTGATCCCACAGAAATACAACCACCATCAGAGAATACTATAAATACCTCTATGCAAATAAACTATAAAATCTAGAAGAAATGGACAAATTCCTGTACACATACACCCTCCCAAGACTAAACCAGGAAGAAGCAGAATCTCTGAATAGACAAGTAACAGGCTCTGAAATTGAGGCAATAATAAATAGCCTACCAACCAAAAGAGGTCCAGGACCAGATGGATTCACAGCCAAATTCTACCAGAAGTACAAAGAGGAGCTGGTACCATTCCTTCCGAAACTATTCCAAGCAATAGAAAAAGAGGGAATCCTCCCTAACTCATTTCATGAGGAGAGCATCATCCTGATACCAAAGCCTGGCAGAGACACAACAAAAAAGGAGAATTTTAGGCCAATATGCCCAATGAACATCGATGCGAAAATCCTCAGTAAAATACTGGCAAACCGAAATACCAGCACATCGAAAAGCTTACCCATCACGATCAAGTTAACTTCATTCACGATCAAGTTAGGATGCAAGGCTGGTTCAACATATGCAAATCAATGAACATAATCCATCACATAAACAGAACCAATGACAAAAACCACATGATTATCTCAACAGATGCAGAAAAGGCCTTTGACAAAACTCAACAGCTGTTCATGCTAAAAACTCTCAATAAACTAGGTATTGATGGAACGTATCTCAAAATAATAAGAGCTATTTATTATAAACCCACAGCCAAAATCATACTGAATGGGCAAAAACTGGAAGCACTCCCTTTGAAAACTGGTGCAAGACAAGGATGCCCTCTCTCACCTCTCCTATTCAACATAGTATTGGAAGTTCTGGTCAGGGCAATCAGGCAAGAGAAAGCAATAATGGTATTCAAATAGGAAGAAAGGAAGTCAAATTGTCTCTGTTTGCAAATGACATGATAGTATGTTTAGAAAACCCCATCGTCTCAGCCCAAAATCTCCTTAAGCTGATAAGCAACTTCAGCAAAGTCTCAGGATACAAAATCAATGTGCAAAAATCACAAGCATTCCCATACACCAATAACACACAACCAGAGAGCCAAATCATGAATGAACTCCCATTCACAATTGATACAAATAGAATAAAATACCTAGGAATCCAACTTACAAGGGACGTGAAGGACCTCTTCAAGGAGAACTACAAACCACTGCTCAACGAAATAAAAGAGGACACAAACAAATGGAAGAACATTCCATGCTCATGGATAGGAAGAATCAATATCATGAAAATGGCCACACCGCCCAAAGTAATTTATAGACTCAATGCTATCCCCATAAAGCTACCACGGATTTTCTTCACAGAATTGGAAAAAACTGCTTTAAAGTTCATATGGAACCAAAAAAGAGCCCGCATTGCCAAGACAATCCTAAGCCAAAAGAACAAAGCTGGAGGCATCACACTACCTGACTTCAAACTATATTACAAGGCTACAGTAACCAAAACAGCATGGTACTGGTACCAAAACAGATATATAGACCAATGGAACAGAACGGAGGCCTCAGAAATAACACCACACATCTACAACCATCTGATCTTTGACAAACTTGACAAAAACAAGCAATGGGGAAAGGATTCCCTATTTATTAAATGGTGCTGGGAAAACTGGCTAGCCATATGTAGAAAGCTGAAACTGGATCCCTTCCTTACACCTTATACAAAAGTTAACTCAAGAGTGATTAATTACTTACATGTCAGACCTAAAACCATAAAAACCCTAGAAGAAAACCTAGGCAATACTATTCAGGACATAGGCATGGACAAAGACTTCATGACTAAAACACAAAAAGCAATGGCAACAAAAGCCAAAATCGACAGATGGGATCTAATTAAACTAAAGAGCTTCTGCACAGCAAAAGAAACTATCAGCAGTGTGAACAGGCAACCTACAGAATGGGAGAAAACTTTTGCAATCTATCCATCTGACAAAGGGTTAATATCCAGAATCTACAAAGACGTTAAACAAATTTACAAGAAAAAAAACAACCCCATCAAAAAGTGGGCAAAGGATATGAACAGATACTTCTCAAAAGAAGACATTTATTACGGCCAACAGACACATGAAGAAATGCTCATCATCACTGGTCATTAGAGAAATGTAAATCAAAACCACAATGAGATACCATCTCATGGCAGTTAGAATGGCGATCATTAAAAAGTCAGAAAACAACAGATGCTGGAGAGAATGTGGAGAAATAGGAACGCTTTTACACTGTTGGTGGGAGTGTGAATTAGTTCAACCATTGTGGAAGACAGTGTGGCAATTCTTCAAGGATCTAGAACTTGAAATACCATTTGACCCAGCAATCCCATTACTGGGTATATATCCAA